TTTTTTGTTGTAAATTTGTACGCGGTAGAGGTAAGAGCTAAATCTCTCTAAAACCTATTTAAAGACTTGGGTCTGTCCAGAACTCACATCAATTAATTCTTAGGACGTACTTCGAAGGCAGCCCTAGTAGATTCATATAAGGTCCGATAAACATACACCTAAATCAAAACGCGATGGATCCGACACCTTTTTCACTTTGTTTTTCTTTTTGTAATTTTGATTTTTGAGTTCGACTGAAAATAATGCTATTTAGTACGTTTTGTTTTATATTTATCTAAAATATATTATTTTAGTGGTTTAAATAATGAATATCAATTTTGACAAAACAGTATAGTTTAATATAGTGTGAAATATGCCTGCCGCCGCATCGTCCTGTTAGTGAATGCTATTTCAACCACTCCAACGGATCGTGATCCAGTTTATTCGATTTTATATTTTTTACAACATAGCCACATTAAGTAAAACGATAAAAGTTAGAAGTTATCATACACATGTTGAATGTAGAGCCGGTAACTGACGTCAACTCGACGAGCGACGAACCTTTTTTCATTTGAGAATTCAAATAACGAAGTGACCGAGTCATCGTTTTATCGCTATAGAATTCCTGATACAGTACACTTGAAGAATTTTTATCATTCTAAATTGGTTTGGGTTTGCTGAGTTTCCCTTAATTAGGCATATTACAAATGTTACGATATTTTTCGATACATTTTAACTCGTTTTGTTTACTTAATTTCTTTAACATAATCTATAATAATTCTGTACATATAACCAGATTAGTAAAATCACATTTGAAAAAAAAATTGAAAGAAAATAAAAAGATTATTAATCCTTCAAACAGCGCACAACTTGGAAGAAATTTTCATTTTCAAAGTTTTTTTCAGACTAAGCTTTGATCAGGAATAAATAAAAGAAAAATAAATCTTTTATAAAATTAGGTACTTCATCGATAAAGCTGAGTGAGTAAACCTCTCTGTTCTTAGTTATATGAATTAGAAATATACAGGGTGACTGGTGAATTACTATCGATACTTGAGGACGTGATATTTGACGATCATATATGACAAAATAAAAATTAATATAACATAAATATTAATAAACTTCTAAGTAAAGTTAACCAAAAGTTGTGTAATTAATTACGCATCGTGTGAACACCCTACAGATTAGGTATACACACACACACACATACACGTGCCGCGGCGTGGTGATGTATCAACACGCCACCGCACGCGTCCACACTTGGAACACTTGGAACGTGTCCACGCTTTATTTATTTATACGGAAATTTGGTCAAAAATTAAGTACCTATTTTTTTTTACATAATTCGAATGAGAATCATGTACCGAGTATTCTCCTTAAATATTGATAGTAATTCACCAGTCACCCTGTATATGTATAATTTGTAACATACAAGGCATAAATATTACGTAATTAGTAGTCGCGAGGTCATCAAGTTAATAAGTCGTAGTAGTTCATAAGTTGACGTGTTGTAGTGTAATGTGTGTAACGAGTCCATAGCTAAGTGATCTCCGGTAGTCCAAGGTAATAAATGTGGACGAATTGTGCGACCCCGTCATAAACGTGTCGGTTTAACAAATGAACTGCACTAAAGGTGGACAGGAAAACCAACAATATAATAACTAAAAAAACGGCCTACAAATTCAAAGAAAACAAACGAAGATGCAGATGTGTCTTAAAAACTGAGTGAACTGGTAGCAGGGATTGTGTCAAAACTCTTAATGCGTGCGGGTGGAATACAAAGTTGACATTGACTAGAAATTTGTGTTAAAGTTCAAAAAGATTAATTGCAGATATGTACTCGATAAAAGAAATGGAATGTTCCGTTATTCTAAGTTAATGCTTGAAATATTCGTCAAACTGAAAAATTGTGATTCTTCTTTTACTAATGAAGAGTATGCCCTAGTTACGACAGGATATTAATGGGATTGAAAACTGCATGAAAGTTAACGATTTCTGAAGTTTCTACTAAATAATGTTAACCTTTTATGTTTTCACATCAACCTACGATCTATTATGTAATGAAAACTTTTTTACCTTTAAGTAACGTATAAGCAAATATATAATATTCAAAAATGCCAGATGTTCACGTCATTAAGATGTGTTGAATTGCATAACTCGAGCCAAGTATGCGGAAATACAGATCATACTAGGATCGAAATTTATAATGAAAAACTTAACTAATTATGCATCGAAAACATATAGATACGATAAATATAGAACTACAAGACTTATATACAACACAGCGGCCATCGGAACGTCACTAGCCGCTCATTGCAAAGTGATATTTGTATGTTTAGACATTCTAACACAAGAACGTGTTATTCCTAAATATAAAAAAAAAATTAATAGTAAAGCGTCAGAGCTCTAAAAGAAATAATATAGTTATGATCTTTGAACATGTGTGACGTCATTTAGTGAGTTTTCAGCCTCTTAAGAGTGTTATAAAATCGTAATAAGACCCTCCGGATATAAAGTATATGTAGATTACAGTAAAGTATTTGATAAAACAAAACACAGAAGAGGATTCCGAGGGAATCTATAGTGATGGTATAAGGACTGTCTCCATGACAGAAAGAGCACAGTACATACATGTTGGTGATACAAATTATATAAACATTTATATAGTCACAGCTAAAGGGTGAGTGTTGGGTCCCTACTTTAAGTCATCTTTGTAAACAGTCTTTTTAAAGCGATTAAAATGAGTGAAGTATTTACTGACCTCATTTGTGTCATATCCGCCGGAAGCAACAGAAAAAATCGCCTAAATGGACTTACAATGTAGGTTTAATCTTTAACGTAAGAAAAATGAAATGGATATCTGTATATATATTTACATCAAAATCACTTTACAAACCAACACGTACCGAGAGGGTTGGTTGGTATGCCGGGACTGTTTACATCTAGGGAAGGAAACTAAGAAATCGTTTTTTTGTGACTGCAGGAAAATTGATTTAATAGAAAAAAGAAAGCAGACTCTGTCATTGACAGGAGACTCAACTAAGTACTACATATAAACTTTTATCCAAAACTTGGATAGGATTTAGCAAAATTTAAAGAAATGAAAATTTAGATTTCATAAAAAATACTGTTATTACAAATGTATAGCTGGACCCATAACGTCTTATGGACTTAGTAAGGAAGTACTTATATTATGTAAAACACATGCATCAGATATATAAAATACAATTAGAAATTTTATAAAACGTGATACCAGATACATAAAAGTTACATTAAACACGATCACTAAATATTTGGTTTCAACAAATTTTTATCGATACGTTGAAATAGAGAATGTGCCATACTCATAGAGCAATATTTCAATGAAAGTATCAAACGTAATAAAAATAAAATACAGAAGCGACATAACCACGTTTAGTATGAATCATTCACAAGTTTTACAAGCAGAATATAGTAATGTGTACAGACACAGAACATTGAAATATATGGTGCTGATAGATACTTTTTCAATTAGTCACTAATTTCATTGAAACAAACTATCTAGATCAAGAACCTCAAAATAAAGTACAATTAAATCAATATTTGTGTAAGAGAAAAGTATATGTGCATCACATATAAACATATTCTTTTAAATTCCATAATAATAACATAAATCATATTATTAATAATATAGATAACATTTATAAAACATTTGATTGTGACGAGCTGGATAGTTCTTATTTCACGCATTCTAAAATGCTTTTGTATTTTTTATATCTAGCTTTATAATAATAAAAAATTATTAACAAAATTTGAAGAAACATTGTTTGTTATATGATTGCTAATAAGTAATGTGTTATAATCATACTCTGGTTTACCTAATTTGTAGTTAAGTATCATATTAGTTTAATTTAATATTAAGTAAATTTATTTGTCATCTATATGACGTTTCTGGTGTAGGGAACAACTAGAATGAGTCTATAATAGCTCCTTTTATACCTCTTTTTTTTTGTCTACTTTTCGTTTTTTGTATTAGTTTTTCTTGAAATAAATTAAAAATATGCAAATATAAATGATAAGGTACATTCTATTACATACCAATAACATTTTACAATTCTTGATAATGATTTAGCATGTTCGATGTAACTCCGTAATATATTTGGTAGTTGGTTCGACAACTTCATTCTGACCCCACAATTTTCTATCCAGTATTTTTCAATCCTGCCCTCATCTGTCACCGGGAGCGCCAACCAATTCAGCTTTAACGTTTATGGTCTGACCATTTCTAAATAAATGATGAAAAATTTGTGATTCGGAGTGAGTTATAAGTACTTTATAAATAATTATTAATTTATACATATGATATTATAAAAATAACATCGTTTGTATGTACGTACTTTTGGCTAAAATATCCTCTCGTGATTTTCATTTTTTTTGTTGACCACTGTACTGAGGCCCAGCTAGCCACCATGTCAAAATCAGAACTGATGTTATAATTTAGAGATTTTTATTATTTTATTTTGTTAAAGCTGGGCCGCTTAATCAATTATATTATATGTGTTATGTAAGCTGATAGTTTGATGGTCCTTACTGTAAACTACACGTGTAATAAGCACTTTATATTATGTGCGACGTACGTATATCATTCATATTAATACATCTCCATACATATGTAAGTCGAGTCAGTCCTCGTAGTCATTGATATTCCACACGCTCGTTGAGACGCGGTGACGAGCTAACCCTTCCCTTTTTATTTGCACCTTCGTTTTCCTCTTCCTCCTTTCAACTTGCTAATGTTGGATTTGTTTACGAAATTTTGCTTTGTTCGGCGAAATTTATTGCGATTGTTTTATTAGATATTTTGCTCTCGTATTCGATATTTTCGAAGTTAATTTCAATGACTGCTCCAATTCTTTTTATATGAGATAAAACAGATATAAAGTAAAATATTTATTTAGTGAGGAAATCGTAAATATTAAATATAATTACAATAATGAAGCTTCAATCTTTATAACATTTAATATGTAAAAGGTGACAGAAAGGTTCAGAACAGTTTTATGCGATGCTTTTACCGTGTTCCAGTTATATTTAGATGAATCACGTTCGTCAGCTGCTCCCAAACAGAATTTTGAATACCTGTGCGAGGCGAGGAGCTGCGAGGAGTGTTTTAGCGTAGAAGGCGATATTCAGGAAAATCCGATAAACCGGCTTCGTAGTTTATGGGACATATTGGGTCTCAGGATATACTTAGCTGCACTAAAATACGCTCAAGATTTGATCGCCTGTGCGCTGTGAACTTAAATTATAGACTTGTTTATACACTAAATGGCGTTTCAGCATTTTATTAAATGAGGATCTTTAAGATATATGCAATATGTAAATATGTATAGGTATATTTCATGACTAAATTTTGCAACAAAAATTTTGACTAAAAAAATAGCATTGACTTAATTATAGTATTCATTGTTTTTAACTAGTTTTGTTATAAATTACAAACTATAGAATTCAAATATTAACACACACGAAACAAACTATCCACTTGCAAAACAATATGACTTTGTTTTAACTGTGAATAAAATACATGCGAAAGAAAACTGTGTTGCTGTTTTTCATTCAGGTATATAAGATTTTAAGAAGTAATTTTAATGCTATTTGGATTGTAAGTATTGGTAGTGTTTGAATAACATCATGAATGCATCTGGGATACTTTTACTAAAACGTACCTTAGTCAGTTCATTGATACTCTACTTCATCCCATAAAATGTGTTAACACTCAATTACGTGTGTTTTTTAAATGTACAGACAGTCAGCGGGTTTTAATTATAAGTTTTACGTTATCATTACGTGAAAGATTGGTTTGAAACTATAGAAGAAGAGTCAGGGTCATATTATTATAAACTTATCAGGATGTTTTTGATCTTGCAATGCCTTTTTTTAAATAACAAATGCAAATTCCTGACCAGAAGAAGCACTTTATGTTATCATATATATTTTAATATAGGTATTATTAATAAAATACACTTTAAAGAGTTATAAAAAAGGGACGATATTGAATTAATTAGAAGTTTCATAAAAACTTGGGTCATTATGATTTTAAAATCACCTGGGGCTCTTTGAATATGTTTTAAAATTAAACAGAGAAAAATATTTTTTTAATATTTTCCACGAATGTAAGTGTCGGTGGCCTTTAGGGTTTTTTTGTATTAATAAGGTTTTTTTTTTGGTTTAAAATATTTTTGGCTCTAGGACAGGATTCTCGAACAATGGAATATATTTTCGCTACTCCTATGCGACATTCGGAGTCGCACCGCAGGGGTCAGAGCGACCAGCTAACGACTTCCTCTTCCGCACCATGCGAGGGTTAACTCCGTTTATTTATACCTACATCGCTCTTATTTCCTCCACATATGGACTAAATTACAGTACCGGTGTATAGAAAATACACAAACGAAATATAGCTCTTATGACAAGCTCGTAAGAACTAAAAGTATGAATCGGTAATAAACATGGTTAAAGCGAATTCGCACTATACAGTCGATTCACATAAAATGACGGCATTCAGCCAAAATAAAACATTGTTTCTATCATCGTAGAAATAAAATGGAGGATTATAATAAGTTGAATTTCTGTTAAGATATAATTTGAACAATAAGTTGTTAACCTACTTAATTCTTGTATAAGTACTTGTGGAGATAATATCTAAATTATTTTTGAAGTTGATTCGCATATCGTAGCTCTTAATACTTAAAAATAATTTTCATCAACAGCTACCTCTGTTATTGTATTCTGCTAAATAGATTTTGTCATTTGATTTTATTCAAACAAAAATTATGAGTTACAGTTTTTATTTATGTAAATAATTTAATTTTTTTCGTGCGAAATGTGCCCTTCATAATACACACGGTACAACAGACACTGTAGCTTCCAGTCATCAGTAATTTTATTTTTGTAACACTACCTACAGATATCGTTATATAAGCCCTACGAGATATTATTTACAGCCTGAAGCTGTACCCTTATGATTAGTGAAATATTTTATGTGTTTTTTTGAAAGATCTCACAATCGTAAACAATCCTTTATTAAAGCCTGTCGTCTGATAATAAAATCCTAAGTCATTTTAATACATCAATGCAAGCAAGACGCAAATAAGAATAATGGCTCCATCCGAATTGCAAATTATGAATTTACTGCATAAAACAAGGCTTTATTACATTTTTACGGTGATTTCAGAGTCGAAAGCCTGATCGTAAATCAATATGAGCATGCATTTATTAAAGGTAATAAATGTTTTTATTTCGTGTGTCGTCGATTCCGGTTGACGGGCGAATGAAGATACCGCCGCTTGTATTGAATAGCCCTTACAATATGTACTACTTTATGTTTGTTTGTCTGTCACATAATAATTATTTTTATTTCATTAAAGAAATTTGTTATTGTAAAACTTATACAAAAAATAATGGATTGTATGTATCATTAAACTTATTAACTGTTAAAATACTTTATATGTTTCTTTAGTTCTAACAATGTAAAATAATCACAGCGTAACAGGAAACTAATTGATTTGTTAGGAATCATTTTTTCCCTGTCTCCACACCGAGGGTATATCATCGTATATAGTTGGGAGTCATGATGGGGCAGGACCTGACAGGGGAGCGTTAACTAGCACGCTTATATAAAAGTGATTTGATCGAATCGTCCCCAATTCACGATGCAAATCTCTTCATGCGTAAATGTAGGGTCACAAACATTATAGGATTCTAAATAAAGTAATTGTTTTTGTTTAATTTAAAATAATGTATAGAAATACATTAAAAGAAAATATTCAGTACATTACATAATTCTAATATTATTACTTTATTTTATAAACAAAAAATAAGATGAATCGATTAATAAAAAACAACAATATACGAAATCTTATATAACTGATTAAATTACTTTGAAAAAAATAAATTACTTGTATCCTTGCAGTAACACCGGATTATATTAATAGGAAAAGGACACACTTATTAAAGTGTTATCATTCATCGTAGTTCTAGCTGCGTGCTTGCTTTTCAGACATCATCTATAGGTACCTACATATAATAAAATTGTAGAAAAGTACATTGAAAATAAAAAAAATAGCAGGGGTTATTGTTATGTCGATGTCGAACCCAAAAATGTAATTAACTTTTTTTTTGTCTGTTTGTCTGTTCACGCTAATCTCAGAAACGGCTGATCCGAGTTGGATGCGGTTTTCACGAATATATTGTGGTATGCTTCAGTTATGCTTTAGTGTTTGTTTCATGTCAATCATGTCACTATTCCACCCGAACGAAGTCGCGGTCACATCTAGTATGTAAAAAAAAATTGATGTAACCTCAATACTCTAATCTTTCATCGTCTATAGACATGACCAATCCTTTGTAAAATGTAAATATATTTCGTTTTGCTCCCACAATCCTAGCACTGTATAATAAAAACATATCCTTCCTCGCCCTTCTTCAATACAAACTACATTAGATTAGCCCCATCTTTTGGAGCGACGATGAAAAAGTTAAACTAAACGTAATGTTATTATTATAACTGTTATTTTTTTCAACTGAACAACACTATCGGTATAAAGATTTTTTTTTGAATGTTTTTGATTCGTATATTGTTTAGTTGTTGAATTTAAATACATCTTATCTTAACGCCAATGGCTAGTATTATTGTGGCTTTGAGTATTTACTGCTTTAGTGGTGGGTTTAAGGGGACTTTTGTTTTTTTCTTTTTTCCAACCTCATACATGATTGCTATTTTTTTGATTAGATTAAGTCTTTCGTACTGGGTCAAACAATATTTATTTATTCTTAAACTAAATAAAGGTTTACTAAGTCCAGTTTGGGTCTCCTTTCCAGAAAAAGTACTTTACTTGTTTTTGTTTGAATGGGTCATTAAGTAACTTTTGACAAAACGAAATATTCATCCCCTAATTTGTTTCAAATCCGAACGATTCTGCAAAATAGTTCTAACAAGCAAAATTGAAGTTCATAGTTGGAATTGATTTTGAAATGGGTCAGCCGTATTAAACACATAAGATCTGTTATTTCGAGGCGTCTATTTTACCCGTGTCTATATTTCTGCACAAATTAAGTTAGTTACGAGGACGTGTGCCCGGAGGCGACTCAAGTTATATAATACTGACAATAAAACTACTTGGAATAGAGAAACTCGTTTATTACACTTACTATTTACTCTTATGCTTACTTTTAAACAAATCCAGTCTATAAAATATATCACAAGTTACCTATTGATATGATATGATTTTTTTTATGTATAACAGTCTTCATAGAACAAGTCAGTGTAGTACATCATTTCTGTAGAACCACCAAATACTTAATTAACAAAGGGAAGGCAGTCATTGAATTTTAGAATTAATATTAATTCAAGTTATATTATACAATTAATTCAAGTTAAATTATTATACAATCTTACAATGTTTTTTTTTATATAGTAAAATTAAAAAAATATTCATCACGATTTTCATCAGAAACCTATAAACATGAAAGATGGCCAACGTAAACAAGTAATAGATGGCAACTTGTTTTTATATAAAGATTATATACATATGTAGTACCCTTATTTAACTTACTCGAACCAGAAGACGCTCACTTAATTGGTAAAACAACTCGATATTCCAGAGGTTACAAATTTCATGAAGTTTTCATTCAATATATTTATTTCTTTTAATTCAACTATTAGTTTAGCATTACTTAAATATTAAGTACATTATTATACAACATTGAATATATTATTATTATTTAAATAAAAGTATTCTCAATACACTTAAACATTACACGGCACTTTAACTAGTTACTATGTACATCGTAGGGCCGAGCTCGTTGTGAAGAGAGTACAGCGTCGTTGAACTAATTACGTTTATAATTAGTTGTCGGACGTTCTGTTACAACTATGTCAATCCTCCGGCGCGGCTATTACTACTTCAATTATGTAAATATGAAATACCAAACAACGGCGTTATAATATGATCATAATTAGTATGTGTGCATATGATTATCTTAGAACGGTTTCCCTTACTTACTTACTCATTGGTTTATAGTTCATGCAACCAGAAGATATTTTCATTAAAACTGCTGATGGTTAAAGAATGCAATTAGAAGCGATTAGATATCGTGTACATTAAAATTGAGTAATGTTGAGTAATAAAGCATTTCTAATAATTTCTTGGATTAGGTAAATATACTGTATATCAAACCTTAACCTTTTCAAAATAGTTTCTCTAAAAAGCTGTTAAAATATAGAATACTAGCTGACC